AAAAGGATAGAGAGACGTTGCTTAGTTAAATTTTACTTTCAAACAGGCAACAGATACATTTCTTTTGTATAAGTGTGTCCTGCATTTATCTGGCAATATATGTTTGTGTTGCTTCAAAACAGAACCAAGACTACAGGCTGGAGAGATGGCTCAAAAGTTAAGAGTACTGGCTGCTCTTCCAGAGAACCAAAACTCAACTCCAAATGCCCATACTGGGCAGTTCACACACCACCAGTAACTTCAGCCCTGGGGAGTCTGACATTTTCTTCTGGTCTCCAAGGACACTTGCACTTACGCATACACCATACACTTGCGACATCTCTCTCTATCTCTTGTCTCTTCCTGCTTCATATTCCTCTCTCTGCCCAAGCAGAGACTCCTGTCCCCACCTCTCTAGTGATGGAATTAAAGGCATGTGATCCCAAGTGCTGGGATCACAGTTGTGTGAGCTCTGTTTCTCTTTTATACAAATTCTATCTTGTGTAGCCCAGGGTGGCCTTGAACTCACAGAGATCCATCTGCTTCTGTCTCCCAAGAGCTGGGATTAAAGGTGTGTGCTACCACTGCCTGGCCTTTATGGTTAGTATGGCTAACTTTGCACTCTGATCTTCAGACAAGCTGTATTTGTTAGATCATAAACAAAATATCACCCCACATCTTTTCAGGACAAGCCTGGAAAAGACTTGTCATCAATGTTGTCATTGTTGTTATCGCCACTGGCAGTCTGTAGCCAAGGAATACCACTGATCACTGTAAGTGTAGCAGCTTATAGTCTGCTCCAGGGAAAGGTTTCTCCAATGAAACAGCTCTGCACAGGCAGGGGTTTCCGCAGAAAAGTTGTTACAGCTCTGCTCAGGTGGGCATAGTGTAACAGCTCTGCTCCGCTAGGGGAAGGTTTCCCCAAGGCAAGTGTTAAACAGTTCTGCTCTCCTCTATCTCTGATCCTGCTCTGCCCTGATCCTACTCCCACAAAAGTTGTTACTCCTCTGCTATGGTGAAAATGTCACACTGCACAACAAACCTTACTCAAGAGATTTATTGGGGAGGAAGAATGGAGGGCAGGGGTTTCGGTAAGAATCAGGAGCAAACGGGTACAGATTTTACATAGGATTTCTTGGAGGAGGTGGAGCTTTCCAGGGTGGCTTGGGATAGGTGGATTTTTTTTTTTTTTTTTTTTTTTTTTTTTTTTTGTGGTCTGATTCTGGGGCAGGCTTAGGCACTTTGAGTTTAGGGACCTCAGGGATTGGTGGAATTCTGTGCTCAGGGATTGGAGGGGTTCTGTATCTTGACTCTGTGCCAAGCTCAGGGATCGGCGCAATTTCAAGCCCTAGTCCTGGGGCAAAGTCGGAGTCAGGGTGTTTTTCCTTGACCCTTTTCACCCTACAACAACCAGACACACTTTACCAAAAAGGGCATATCAATAGACAGATGAATGTGGGCCCCACTGGTCCTATCACATGCCATATCATTCTGGAACTACCAGCTGATGGATTAAGCAAACATCCTCTGCTCCTCACCTCCAAAACTCTATCCAAGGTTCAGGGAACATAGCAGAAGAGTGGGGAGGAAGCAAGTAAGAGATGGAGGATAGGAAGCAGTGTGTGAAAGGCCATTGTCTGGAATGGCATGACTGATGCACACATCAACTCAAAGCAGCTATGGTTACCTGCATGATTGCTGCACAAGATCAGGTGAGTTAAAATCCATACATGGATGGGGGTAGGGTTCCAGAGACTCCACTCCTAGTTAAGGAGTCATTGATGGTTAATGACAGCTAAGAAAGGAAGACTCATTTTTCTTTGGGGTGTGGCTGCTGATAAGTTGGCCTTGCCCCAGTGGTTGGCCCTGTACTCACTCATACTTACACTCACACATGATTGGGACTTATTGGGCTCAGAGTAATTAATAAAATAATAATAATAGGACATGAAGTTCTAAGCAGGTTGGTGGGCTCCAGGGGGACTTAGGAAGATAGTACGGGTGGATAAAAATCAAAATGCATTGAATATGTGTTTGAAATTTCCAAAGACAAAATAAAAATTTTAAAGAAAACACCTTGCTGGAGAGATGTGTGGCAGTTTGAATGTAACTGGCCCCCATAATTTCATAGAGAGTGGCACTATTAGGAGGTATGGCCCTGTTGAAGGAGGTGTGGTCTTGTTGGAGGAAGCCTGGCACTGTGGGGGTGGGCTTTGAGGTCTCCTATGCTCAAGATGTCACTCAGTGTCATAGTCCACTTCCTGTTGCATTCTGATCAAGATGTAAACAGCACCATGTCTGCCTACACATCACCATGCTCCCTGCCATGATGATAATGAATTGAACCTCTAAAACTGTAAGTGAGTACTCCAATTAAACGTTTTCTTTATCAGAGTTGCCATGGCCATGGTGTCTCTTCACAGCAATAGAAACCCTAACTAAAACAAAACATCTTGTTGGAAGGATTAAGTGCAGAGGTTAACTCAAAGGTTAAGAACACTTGATGTTCCTGTAGAGGGCCTGAGTTCAGTTCCCAACACCCACATGACAGCTAACAAGAGTCTGGTTTCAAGGATCTGATGTCCTGTTCTGGCTTCCTCTGGTACTGTACAAATATGATGCACTTAAATGCATGCTGGCAAAACACTCACCAAGATCCTGAAAGGCTGCTTGAGGATGAGGTGGAGCAGATAATGGGGTAGTACAGCAGTGAACTGGTAAAGCTGCTTGGCAGCATCCAGGAGGCCCCTTCAGGACACCTTGCACTCTTCACACAAGCTGATAGGATTGATGTCCCCTGAGAGTCACAAACAGCCCAGCCACAGTGCTGCCCCCAGGAGAACCTGCTGCCTCCCCCGAGTCCACACCCTCTCCTAGGAACAGCTTATGTTCACACTGGGTGATGTGCCCTTTGCCTTAATTTAAGACAATGCTATCTCAGTATGGTGGGAACACCGTGGCATTGACTGAGGCCTCTGGGTTGCTGCCTCTCTGGTTAACCTTCCCTCTCCTTCATGTGGCTTCCCTCCCTGACTTACAGGTGTCCTGTGTTCCCATGAGCCACCTGCACACAAATCTCCACCTCTAAGTTCATTTCCCAGAGAACTCAAAGGATGACAGTGAACATTTAGAGATGTGAAGATAAGCCCAGAGGAAAGGGGTCCGTTGACAAGGTTCCACCCCTCAGGGACAGGCAAGGGGTGAGAGGAGGTGGAGTTTGATGTTCTTGTTTACAGCCCTCCTGCACTCTGTACTTTTTAATATGCACGTGTATTACTTCCACAATTAAACTTTTTCATATAAAATCTTAAAGAATGAGGTTGGTGAGATGGCTCAGTGGAAAAGGGAACCTACCACCAAGCTTCACAACACAAGTTCAATCCCCTGGAACCCAGAGAACACTGAGGAAGAGAGGCCAGAAAGAAATGTAAGAGCCCACGAACAGGGAGGAGCGCTGTAAAATGCTGTTTTCTGGACACAGCATGGCCATCGCACTCATGAACCTGCAGCAGCTATGGCTACCTACACAAGACAAAGCCAACAACGTCAGGCGAAGGCGGCACTCCAACATGCAGAATTGATGAGACTCAGTGAGTTACAGGGGCATGGAGGGGGATGTATTGAGAGTGTCTGGAGGGAATAGAAGGGAGAAATAGAGGTGAACATGATTGAGATACAGTGTATATGTGTATCAAATTGTCAAAAAGTAAATAAAAGGTAACCTTTTTGCAAAAAAAGGAGCAAGAACCAGAGAGTGAGATAGCAAGGTGGGGGAGGGGGAATCCTGACTCAAAAATAAGGTGGAGGGGGATTGAGAAAGAGAGCTCAGCATCAACCTCTGGTCTCCACAGTCACCTCCACACATGACCACACCCTGAAACCACACACACACACACACACACACACACACACACACACACACACACACACAAAGAATCTTTAAAGAATCAGATACTATCACTTGTCTGGGGCAGGGGCTGGGCTAAAAGAATATAAGAGTAGGAAAATAGGGAGAAAGGCTGTGAATGCTGTCTTCCGGCCTTGGCACAGCCTATGCACAGCCCATGAAATCACAGTCTTGTCTTATAGTAGCTGTAGCTCCAAGCAATTGATCTACATGTGACTGGGCCTATCAGCAATCATGGATTGGGGAGGTACTTATGGGGACCTAAGCCTTTCCCATGAACTATGGGCTGCAGATGGGTTCTGGAAGAGGGTAGTCATTTTCTTTAGTCCTGTACCAACAGAGGAGCTCATCAGTCTCCAGTGGGTTGTTCCAAGCCCACTGTCACACAAACGATCTTGGTTAAACTCAGTAGATATCATTTTTTTTAAAGGCCAGAGAGATACCTCAACTGATAAACCGTGTGTGTGTGTGTGTGTGTGTGTGTGTGTGTGTGTGTGTCTAAAAACCAAAAGACCTGAATTAAAACCTGGGACTCACATAGTAGAAAGAGAAAATTGAGTCCCTCTAGTTGTCCTCTGACTTCTACACACATATGTCCACATGCACACACATACAATAAATACATAATACAAAAATATTTTAATAAAAATGAATGTAGGAAAAGACTTGTTGAGAAAGGTAAATTAATAATCCTACGGCATGTTATAGGTGTATAAAATTATCTAAGAACAGACTCAATAAGAGATTTCTTTTTTTCAAAGAAAGAGATCATTGCTCATAACTCAGACAGTGTTTTTGCTAGATTTTAAATAACATTACTAGCTGTTCCCTTTCCACTAACGTAAAACCCTTAACATGATGTCAGGACACAGAGAGGGAGCTGCATCAGTAGCTCTGTTCGATACCTGCTCAGCCTGTGCAATGGAAGGCCAGGAAGAGCTGCATAGCAAAATCCTGTCTCAAAGAAAGAAAGAAATTACTGAGGTGGCTCCACCCTGCTGCTCAAAGCCAAGGGCACCATAAAGAAGAGAGATACTGAGTGTTTCAATGTCTTCCTGCCTCAGCTGTTGCAGTTTTGCATAAAGAAGGCGCCCTCAGTGTGGCGACGCTTTGCACAGGGCACAGGTAGGTATTTTTCACAGAACTCTCAGGGCTTGCCAGAGCCCCCTTGCTCATTCTTATGGGAGTACTGTGAGGCCCAGGTTTCCTCAGTCAACCCAAGCGAAGGCTTCTGCCTGGAACACCTCGAACATTTCCAAGTGACGTGGAGCAGGCGGGCCCAGAGGCCTCTACACTTCCTGTGTGGGGTTCAGACACCAACCTCCTCTGTCTTCAGCTGGTGCTTCTTCAGAAATGGTAAGTCTCTCCTGGTGAAGCGCCCTGCTTTTCATCCTATTGCTTCAAACACTGATCCAGGGTCTTACATGCAGCCAGTATGTTGAAAACTTCCTCTGGTTTCATTTTCAGAAGAGCAGGCTGTGTCCGCCATCTTAGTAGAGCAAGCCTTCTGAGAAGGATGCAGTGGAACGTTTTCTGGAGAGTTCTGGGCCTTGGCCTCCTAGTAGGTGAGTAGGTGGGTATGAAGAAGGGTGACACTCTTCCAGGCTATTGCAAAGCTCAAACCCTTGCCTGGTGCAGCTGGTGCTTCAATGATTAAAGATTCAAGGAACTGTTTAAGGTGATGCCGTTAGGGAGGTGGATGAGGGCTGGAGGCAAAAAAGAAATGTGCCCCAGGTGCCACGGAGACAGTTCAGGAGACAGACGAAGGAAACCACTTGGGTTGATCACTTCAACCGAGGGAAGAGGTCTGTCTGTCTCGGAGAACCATGGTCTGTAAACTCAGCAGTGCTTATGGAAATGAGCAGGGTTAGCTCCACTTGGTTTTGGGGAGAGGGGATAGGTAGACCAGGGCCTTGCCTAGTTTAGCATCTTTGAGGCAAACCCTTTGTGATTTCCAGTCTTTTGAAAGTGACCGAGAGATTCCAATTAGTTTAGGCCTTTTTCTGAAGCAGGGTGTGGTATAATTGATAAATAGCTGAGAGCACACACGTGTGTGCACTCCTGCGCACACACAAAAGCCATTTGCTAAGTGTGTACACTGCGTGAAGAAAAGACTGTATGTGGGTTCACCAATTTGATTCTTCCTTAGAAGAAAAGTAGGGCAGCCCCTGACTTACAGGTGGAGTTGTCACTGAGTGATTGAATAATCATTCAATGTTAAACAGTCAGCAAGTCCAGCAGTCCATCTGAGAAACCAGGGATACCTGTATACAAGGCCTGTGCTCAGGACTGCACTTTCTGGGCCAAAATGGCTCACGAGCATTCTACGTCAAAGACCTAGAAAAGTCTGTGTTGCCACAGCTGGGCTCCTATCTCAGAGCCACAGCCATTGTGCCTCCATTTCCTGCTTCCCCTTGGGTTTCTCAGGCTTGAGTATACACACATCTTCACTGGGGGTGCTGAGTGAGGTGACTGGCTGCTTGTGAGACTGAGCTCATGATGCAGTCTTGGTCTTAAACTCAAGATCCTTCTGCCTTATCCTCTAAAGGTCCAGGATTACAAACTTGTACCATCACTTCCTTCAACATTCCATATTTCTAAAAAGCTTTCATATCTGTGCCTGGTCCAAGGAACACACTTTAAGTCTCAAAGGGAAGAATGTGACTCACGCGTGGAACAGCCAGGTGTTTTCTTAGAGGTTTATGGTATAAATTTTACTCTCCCTTTAATTAAAAGATAGATGGATGATAGATAGATAGATAGATAGATAGATAGATAGATAGATGAAAACACATAAATTAAAAAATAAAAGAGGACAGCCTCCGAGATTGTTCAGTGGGTGAAGGTGCCTCCCACCAAGCCTGACAACCTGGGTTTCATTCCTAGGCCCCACATGTGAAAGGAGAGAACTGATTCTTATAGGCTGCCCTTTGACCTCCACACATGTGCTGTAACATGCATGCACCCACATACCTACACACAAAATAGGCAAATGCAAACAAATATAATAAAGGGAAGAATATAGAGGAGAGGGGGAAGGAAAGGAGAATATTAAAGACTTAAGCACCCTAGCAGTGTGCCTTGTCTGCTCTGTGGACACCTCACCCTGCACAGAGGCTGTTCCTAAATGAAACACCCAGGCAGCGCAGAGGAAACTGATCATTATAAGAGACCTGAGTCAATGTTGAGTGAAGGGACCCAGGAGAGCCCAGACACACAGGCTGGAGTTGCTGAGTAGTTGGGGTTTCAAATATCCCCACCTCTGTCTCGAGCAGAAAACAGATGGAAAGTTTGAGCTGTCAGGCTCTCAAGAGACAGAGAGAATCCTAACACCTGTACCCACCAAGGTCTTGTTTTTCTTCTGAAGTCAGAGAATGGTTTTCAAAATGGAGAGTCTGCTGCCTGGCTCGTTTGCTCTTTCTTGAGACACCCAGAAAGGACCCTCAACTTGTTTCACTTCTGCTTGTTAAACACCATTCTCTCGTGTTTAATGTTAGTTGTTTCCTTGTTCAGCTTCCTCCTGAGTTAGCCGGGAACCCCTGCCCAATACCCTGTAGCAAACATCCTTTACTGCATATATAAATGACTGATGGGCTGGAAAGGACTTTAGGTGACAGTGACAGTAAGACGGGAATACAACATTTTGTTTAGAATTTCAGGCATTCACAGCATTTACTAACTCATTTCTTTATTGTTTGTTTTCCAGTTGGCACTTGGCAGGACGGTAAGATATGATTTCTTTCTTTACTATGAAGTCATGCCAGTATTCTTGATTCAGCCATCACAACTAAATAACTGTGTTCCCGTCTATAACTGATATATACAACAGTAGACCCACATAGTTATAATGGGACTGGAAAGTTTCCATCACCTGGTATTTCACTTTATCTCTTCTGCGTGTATATATACAGACACTTATCATTGTGTTGTGATTGCCTGTTCAGTATAATTACATGCTGCACAGGATTTTAGGCTAGGCACAACACTCTACAGTATATAGCCTAGGTGTACAGTGGACACAGCACGTTACACTATAGTCTAGATGAACAGTGGACTCTGCTATCTAGGTTTGTGTCCATGCGTGCTGTGCTGTGACATTTATTCAATGACCAAACCGCTTAAGAATGCATTTCTCAGAACCGACTGTATTTAGAGTACAGTTTTGTCAAGGCTTCCCATAGAGATTCCACAGGTAACAATGAAAGAGATTTTTCTCCTCCTTTGTTTCATAGATGTATCCCAGTTTTGGGAACACGGAGGCTGCAGAAAATTATGAATAACTTAAAACTGTTAAAAACTTTACAGTAGAGCTAGGAAGGTGACTCAGTTGGTAAAATGTTTGCCTGACAAGAATGAGGACCTGAGTTAAATTCCCAAAACACACATATTTAAAAAAGAAGAAGAAGGAGGAGGAGGAGGAGGAGGAGGAGGAAGAGGAGGAGAAGCAAGCACAATCCAAGCAGTGGGGAGGCAGATGGGGCTTCCTGGCCAGACAGACTAGATAAGTCATCAAGCTCCAGGTTTAGTGAGACACCTTGTCTCAAAAGCAATGAGATGGAGAGCTATTGCAGAAGGTATCTGATGCCTGCCTACACACACACACACACACACACACACACACACTCAACATATACACACACTCATGCATACGCATATGCACAGGAACACTAATATACACATATACACAAAAAGTTAAAAGTACCAATGGTTTTCATTCTTTTTCTTTGATATTGTAAGGATTCAGGCATTACGCTGGCCTGCCCCTATCGCCTGGCAGAATGCACTCAGGCAGTACTCTGGTCAGCCCAGGGTTCTATGAGTACTAGTCTGCAGGCAGGTGTAAAGGACCCCTTTAAGAGTCAGACCCCTGCCCACTTACCATCTCTTTTGCTTTCTCTTTTGCACTCTCTCTCCTGCTTTCGGTTGGCCACCAGCTACTCCCTCTCTTCTCCTCTTGTCCCCTCTCTCTCCCCCTTCCTCCTCTTCTGTTCCCGGTGCCCCTATGTCTCATCCCTTCTCCCTCACTCCCCTTTCTACATAAACTCCTCATTTAAGCTCTATCTGCCTGCCGTGTTATTCCCTCCCGCCTGGTCACCCTCACCTGCTATGGAACCTGCTATGCTCTCCCACGTGGTCCTTACCTTGGGACCCCACTCACTTGGGATCCTTACTGGGGACCACTCTCCCACCCCCCTTATCAACCTTTTATGAGGTTGGTAGAGGCTGTGAGGTTGACCAGAATGTGTGTATAGGGTGACCCTGGTTAATTTTTGAGTGCACATTCATGATGATGTGCTTGAGTAGTCTGAATGTGGGTCTCTATGTGTGCACAAGCCTGAGCTTTATTTTCTCAGTCAGAGCAGTAGAGTCAAGCCTGCCCCAAACCTGGAAGCCTCTCTGTTTAGTCAGTGCCTCCAAACTGAGAGAAGCAATACTCTATCCAGTAGCAACAACTGTGCCAGGCTCCTTCCCCTCCAATGTATAACTGGTGTCCGCATCACCCATTTTGTGCATAGTCACGAGATACAGAATGTAGAATGTAAGATTCTAAACAGCTTGTCATATGCAGCCAAAGAAACTTCAAGCCTGGGGGGTGTGGGAGTGTCCTAACCCACAGGAGCCAGATGGATCTCAGTCGCTGATAAGAATATAACTAACAGCTCTTCTTACTTCTCTTTCAGATACTGAGGACCCTGGTAAGAGGACTCACTCTATGCAGCCTCTTCTCAGATGTGGAACAATCTAATCACACGACAACCATGGGAGTAGTAGTAACAATGGGAACCAGAGTTACTAGGGGGAGACGGGATTATCTGTCTGAGATGTGCCTGGTTTGGCCGCCACCTTCCATGTCTGGTTAGAGCTATGCATGTATGCTTCCCTAAGCACACTGCTGGGGAAAGGTGCACCGGTGGCTGTGGGGCCCTCCATTTGTTTTTGTGTGAACTGTAAGTTCCTTGAAGGCCAAGACAGAATCTCATTTACCTGTCCTTGGTGCCTGGTCCATAGTGGGTGCTTAATGAAGTGTTTGAGTGAATAAATGAACAGAATATTAATATTTTGCTAGTTCTTTGTCCTCAAGAAGCCAATTGTCTTTAAGAGATGCCATTTTTGATGCTACACTGTGATGCATGCAATGGGTAGAGGCAGAGGAAAAAAAATCAAATATGAAAAGAATGGTAAACTCTGCAAAGTATAGTTGAGGAAGATTCTGTGGCAGAGGAGGTGGTTCTTGAGCTAAGTTTTAAAGGTTTCACTTATACTTTAGGGGCGGAGGATGCTTGAGGCAGAGGAGACAAAAATCTAACCCTGAACTCAATGGCCATGTTTGAATCCTGATTCAGTTTCCTATTTGGATGTTAATGGATAACTTCTTAATATCTGTGCCATCTGATCCTTGTGTATGACATGGAAACAACCTGTGGCATTGATGTGAGGACTTAGTGATTGATTCACTTAAGACACTTACGGCAGTACCTGCCATACAGAAGTCAGTAAGTGGCATTTAGCTGGGGGGGGGGGGAGTTAGAGAGATGGCTCAGCAGTTAAGAGTACTTGCTGCTCTTTCAGAAGACCAAAGTTCAGTTCCCAGCATCCAGTGCCAGGGAATTCTGCCTCCTCTTCTGGCCTCTGTGAGCACCCATACATATGTGTGCATACTAACAAGCAAGCGTACACATACATGCAAAGTTTCTTTTACATCTTTTTTAAAAAGGAATTAAATGAGTGTGGTGGCACAGGCCTTTAATCCTGGCACTCTGGAGGCAAAGTCATGTGGAGCTCTGTGAGTTGGAAGCCAGCCTGATCTACATAGCAAGTTCCAGGTCAGCCAAGGCTACATACATAGTGAGACCCTGTCTCAGAGAGAGGGGTTAGGGAGGGAGATATATATCTTGGAAGCACAGAAAGACCTGGTTAGTACTTGAATGGAAGAAGAAATGTTAAAGTTTGTTGAGCATATATGTTCTAGTTGTTGCCCTAAGTAAGGGGGAAAAGGCTTAGAAATAAATAGTCCAATCAATGAAGGATAATCAATGTATAGGAAACTCAATTTCTTGACCAGTGTGAAATGCCATGGATGTGGGTAAAAACTCTCTTTGCGAACCTGTTTCTAAACATGGGACAACCCAACTCTTATAAGTAAATCAACACTCTGATGGTGAATTTGGACCAGTAAGGGTGTAAGCAATTTTTTACATGTTTTCAGACAAACCTCTTAAACAAAACAAAGTAAATGTCTATTTACTCTAAGTTTATCTTATTTATGATTTCTGGCTCACATATACTTTCTAGGAAACATCAGTAGCAAAACTCATTAAGTCAAAGTAATCCTCTGTTATGATTTTGCCTAGCTCCCAGCTGCTGGCTGGCAGAGTTGGCCTGTGAAGTCCCAGCCAGAAGGTTGTTGAGCAGTTGGGTCAGAGCTCAGCTGTTCTCCATGGTAGCAGGATCCCAGGAAGGGAGGGAGGAAAGACAACAGCATTTTCCATGATCATCTGCTATGTGCATCCACTTTCACCTTCAGGATTCTTTTGATTTCCTCAAATACCTTCTGAAGTGGCTGTATTACCTCCATTTCCCTGATAAAGAGACTTGATTCTGGAGCCGTGGTGTGTGCCTATAATCTCCACACTTGAGAGACTGAGGCAGCAAGGTTGAAAAAGTGAGGCCAGACCAGGTGACATAGCAAGACTGTCTTAAATAATAAAGTCTTTTAAAAAAGAAAAAACCTGAGGCTCAGAGAGGTTAAGTGACTTGTTCCTGCTCACACAGCCTAGTCATCTGTGTCTTCCCCCCAGGAACAAGCTGTGTCTGAGCACTAGCCACCACCATTTTCTCTCCTCCAGCTCAGATTCTGTCATGTGAGGGCTCTGGCATATCCCAGTAGTGTGTATGAGGACCGCCTTTCAGGGCAACGATGCCTGCTATAGGCAGTGTGGTTTTTATGAGTGGATTTCTGTTGCCCACGGCTGTGGCTCCTCTTTCCAACCAAATAATGGAGAATTCATTATACACAGATAATGTAAGGCCAGGGCACTCCTTACAGGAAGAGCCATCCTCCTAATCTTCAGAGTGATTTAGGTCATTCAGGGCCAATATGGAGGAAAGCATATTGAGTAAGACATTGGATATGATTACAAGCAGCTTCATTAGCTGCTTTAAGGAAAGATACCAGAGGCTGAGGATGTGGCTCAGTAGGCAGAGTGCCCGCCTGGCATGCACAAAGTCCTGGGTTTAATCCCCAGCACCACATTTATGGGCCATGTGGTGTGTACCTAGAATCCCAGAGCTCAGGAATTAGGGGCAGGGACATTAGAAGTTAAAGATCACCTTTGGCTTCATAACAAATGTCAGACCAGCCTTGAGAACATGAGACTTGTCTCAAAACCAACAGAGAAAAATCATGGGAAATGGATGACCAGTTGAGTCAAAGGCTTAGAGGTCTTTATCTTGAACACACTGTGACAGCTATCTGGAAGGTGATTCTGGCTGAAGGAGAACAGCCCAAGAATTTTCTGCCTATGACTCTTAACACTCTACACTCTTAATTTCCATGTTCTGGTTTGGGAGCACATGCCCCTGTATTTTGAATGTTAAATGTCTAGATTTTGCATGAGCATATTTGGGGGGCTTAATCTAGACCTTATCTCTGGAACTTACAGTTCTTGGGGTGTTGGTACCTACTTACGCTAGAAAATATTTACCTCAAATGGAAGCATAAAGCAGGATTGTTTTCTTACTATCTTTCCCTTTTTTCGTTTGCAGATAATGAGACACCAAACCGTGAGTGTACAGAGCTTTATTTACACCCCGTCAGACCATGGGTGGAAGGGAGGAGACAGACTGGGGGAGATCAGCCCCAAGAACTGAGAGCCTCCTGCTACATTCCCAACATCTGTTTTAGAAAGATATCAAATGAGGACTTCTGTGGGCTTTTCTTTACTCCTACCTTCCCCTTTCCACTTCCTATGCAGTGTCCACACTCTAAAGCCACCTTCCAGAAGGTTCTCTGCTTCTCCATCCTTACACACATCCCCTCTCCCAATTTCTCTAGTCAGGACACCTCCCTCTGTCAAGCAAACTCAACCCCAGTGATGAAGACTTCCTGTACCTGGCTGCCTCTCACAATGCTGTTTTTCTGTGGGTGAAATTTTCCTGGATTTCCCTCTGACCTCTGTCCCTTTTCTCCTTTTCCTCAGATTATAAAGTCTCCATCTCAGGAACCAGGATAGAACTGACATGCCCTCTAGAGAATGACATAAATTGGGAAAAAGATGACAAACGAGTGTCGGATGAGAATGACAAACTTCTGGTGCTAGAGGATTTTTCAGAAATTGAGGACAGTGGCTACTATGCCTGCTACTCGGGCTCCTCAAAGAACAAATATCTCTACCTGAAAGCGAGAGGTAACACAGACTCCTCCCCAAACAGCTTTCTCAAGAATTCCTCAAACCAGCCACGGCCCTATAATCTCAAACTCCTCCTGAACTCTGTCCCTGGCTCCCTGAGGCTACACAGTATCTGAAACACAGATTAAATAGTGGCTTGAGATTGTCTGGGTCTCTTCAGTTGGTACCAGGTATAAAATAGCAAGTTCCCCCAGAGGCGGACTTGGATCATACCCAACTTGTGACATACTCAGAATCAAAGTTTACCATCATCAGACACACATTTCATTAAGAGAACTTTAGAGAAAATCAATGCTACTACCTAAAAGTCCTAAGGCAAGGCATCACAATAAACAATAAGAGCTGCATTTGTTGAATACAGTATTTGGGGTTTTTTTGGGGGGGGATGTTATTGCTTATTTTTGTTTTTGCTTGCTTGTTTTTGGTTTTATTTTTGCTTTTCCAGGACAGGGTTTCTCTGTGTTGCCCTGACTCTCCTGGAACTCACTCTTTAGACCAGGCTGACCTCAAACTCACAGAGCTCTGCCCGTCTCTGCCTCCCAAGTGCTAGGATTAAAGCATGTGCCACTACCCAGCTAAGTAGTGCATTTGGAACCTTTACACATGCCTCAATTATCCAAGGGCCTGGGGCTCACTAGGCAATCCCTATATCACTGAACTCCACCCCCAAGGTCCACATCATGGGATCCTTTCCTGCCATCCCCATATCAGCCACATAGCACATTTTTATTCCTTTTTTTTTTTTTTTTTTTTTTTTTTTTTTTTTTTGATGAGAAAACAGAGTGGGCTGAAACTAATGAGTGATGGAGCTGAGAGTGACTCCTGAGCTTCTGGCCATAATCGCCCACGTTGCTGGCCCTTCTCCCTGGACACTGTTGCAAGCTTGGGGTCTGGTGCTAGCAGGCATGCAGGGGTTTTGGAAGACTTGTCTTCATTAGTTCCTCTTCTCCCGCTTTCTGGTGTTTTCCTTTTTGGGTCATTTCTCTCCCTCCCCACACTCCTGCCCCCTGCAGTGTGTGAAAACTGTGTGGAGGTGGACCTGACAGCAGTCGCCATAATCATCATCGTTGACATCTGCGTCACTCTGGGCTTGCTGATGGTCGTTTATTACTGGAGCAAGAGTAGGAAGGCCAAGGCCAAGCCTGTGACCCGAGGAACCCGTGCTGGTGGCAGGCCCAGAGGTAAAACCATAGAGCAGGGTTGGGGAGATTTGGCCCGGGTCAGGATGGGCAGCAAGTCTACAGCAGAGTCCAAACAGCTTCTCTAGAACATTCTCTGTGATACAAGATCCTTATGGAGGGCTTCCCATTCAAGATCATTCCTCTCCTCCCACCCTAAAAACCTCTGAAACCAACACCAGCTGACAAGGCAGCAGGCTTCCTCAGACACCTGGCAGCACTCTGCAAGCAAATTGGAGCCCCAAGCTGTGGGCAGAGAGATTGTAGGATGTTAGTTCCCACCTCTTCCCCTCAGTTGCCCCTGCAGAGAGAACGGGAGGACCTGAGCTGGAGCAAAGTCAGGAATGATGAGAACAGTGGAAAACAGTGAGGGAGGCTTTAGGGAACAAGGTGATGGAAAGAAAAGAAGGAGATTAGCAGAAAGGACAGAGGACTGTCCTCCCTTGGGTTGAATCCCCTAACAGCCATCTTCATGGCAAGAGTGGTGGTCACCATAGAAACGATATTTTCCCGCTCCTTCCTCTGCAGGGCAAAACAAGGAGCGGCCACCACCTGTCCCCAACCCGGACTATGAGGTAATGGGATACAGTGGGTGGCAGCAGCGGGGGGCGGGGGGAGATTGAGGGGCCTCCTAGAGAGAGGAGACTGGGTGGGACTGCCCATCTTATCTGCCAGACACTTCAAGCTGCTTACCTGGGGCTCTCGGGACAGGCAACCCCCATGCCTTCTCTATGCTACATAGGACTATTTCAAAGGCTGTTTACTTCCAGCACTGAGTAGAGGCAAGGGGCTAGAGAAAGGAATACACATTTCTTCCTCTCACTTGATTGACTGAGATTCAGATAAGATAGATAAGAATGGTGTTCCAGCATCAACCAATCATTGGTGCAGTCAACCAATCATTAAAATAGGGTCATGCTTGATTAGTAAATAGCCCTAGTTTTCCTCCATCATGTGCACTCACATGTACAAGCACATGTACACACACACACACACACACACACACACACACACACACGTAAAGTCAGGCACCACAGCTCCTCTCCACCAGGCCATTTGATTTCAAACCTGAATAGTTAATACCTGGCACCAGGACCGCCTTCATTGTGACCATCCACTAACAATGTTTAAAGACTTTCTCTATCACACTGGACAAACTGAACAAAACTTGAGCACCAAGAGTGGGGTGTTTAGTATTCCCTCAGTAACCCCAGTCAACCTTGACAAAAGTGCTAGAGGCAAGTCTTTACAATCTCCCTTACTCGGCTAGGGAAGCTGAGGCTTCCAGAAGGAAGTGGCTGGCTCAAATCTGTGCCAAGTTACAACTGGACTCCCCCTGACTCCAAGTCCAGAGGTCTTACACTACAGCCAACACCCCAGTGCCGTTCTTCCTTCATCCCTCCCACCCCCTAACCACTATTCTTGTTCCATTCTTAGCCCATCCGCAAAGGTCAGCGGGACCTGTATTCTGGCCTGAATCAGAGAGCAGTCTGACAGACAGGAGGGACATTGCCTTCCATGGACCCAAATCCAGCCCTCTGAGTACCCTGCTATTCCTTGTTCTCTGGACAAACTGTGGACCCTACAGGATTGTTCTTCAGCCATCTGGTGAACATGCATCTGGAAGCTTGCCTCTGTTTCCTCTCCTGCTGCCCCTGCTAGTATCCCCTGAAACATAGATGGTCAGACTCTCAGCCAGCCATCTTGTTAGGATGCTTATTCCAGCCACTCATCCTTGCCAGTGCCTTCCATTTGCACCGATGTTATCTTTGCCATCAAGCCCCTCCTTTCCCTGCATATAAATGGCTCTCTTCCCCAGCCCTTTTCTATACCTTTCTGTTTTTCCAACTCTCTGTTTTACACCCTTCTCTGGGAATGGGCTCAGTGATCACTGGCAGATGTCCTGGCCCAGCACCTGCCATGAGCTCCTCTCCAGGTTTCATCTTAAATCCTTGGATAGTCATCTGCATCTCTACGAACATACCAGACTCCTCTCTGCTAATGGAAAAGTAATAAAGTGTATTGGCTAGATGATTACTGTTTCTTTTTTCTGGAAGGCCCTCTGAAGCAGCCTGTGTCCTAAGGCAATCCAGACTCTCCCTGAGGACTCAATGCAGGGCTTGCCTCTTGGAAGGGGGTGGGCACCAGCGGTCCCCCCCCCATGCATCAAATCATCAAAGGTGCCCAGAGGGAGGGGTGGTCCCTGATGGAGTGAGTGGTCGGTCCATAAGATGAATAAGACAGATGGGACCTGAAAGGCAGGTGGAGGTACCAGAAAAGAAGGGAGAGTGAGAGGGAGTGGGGGCTGAGACAAGGGCTGCCACCAGCTGCCAGGAAACACTGCTGAACACAGCAGAGGGAGGTGGAGAAGAGCCTCACAGCACAGCTCGCAGCAGCTCCCTCCCCCTGGAGGCAGCTGCCTGAAGCCCCAGATGGTGGTGGTTATGCAGCAGGATGTGGGCTGTGCTGGGAGCCAGCGTGAGAGAGGTGCAGTGGCAGTCAGAGGCCAGACATTGGCGGCCAGCGGTGAGACCAGCCTCCCACACACTCTGCTGGCAGGAGAGAGGAATCCAGAGCCCAAGTAAGCTGTCCTAAGCCAGCTGAAACTAGCAGGCTCTCTTCTCTCCTCTTCTGCCTCAGACTCATCCCGGGGACTTCAGGACCATTCATTATATGGCATCTGGCTTCTGTGACTAGCAGCCCTCCACATACTGTTCACACTCAGCCTTGGACTTGAAGCTACAGCTACTATTTGTTGGTCTCCACCGATGTGCCACTTTTTTTCTCTCTAGGCATCAAATTTATGTTAAGAGAAGCCTTGGTGAGTTTGCTCATCACCAACAGCTAACAAACAGATTGGCCCAGGGGTGGCAGGTAGTGTCCAGTCATGGACATTTGTAGCTCAGCATGGCAAAAGCATTAACAGTTGATGTCTACTGGGTAATTACTATGTTCTCTTACTTAATTCTCATAGAGACTCCATAAGAGAGATGATTTCCTCTTCCATCTATAATGGGCTCAGAGCGTTTAAGTCATCTGTCCTCAAACTCACAGAGATCCTTGTGCCTCTGCCTGCCCAAGTGCTGGGATTTAAAATGTGCCCCGCCAGCAGGGTGGTTGTGGCGGCGCACGACTTTAGTCCTGGCACTCAGGAGGCAGAGGTAGATGGAGCTCTGAGTTTGAGGCTAGCCTGGTCTACAGAGCGAGTTCCAGTATAGCCAGGACTACACAGAGAAACTGTCTTTAAAAAAAAATAAGCGTGTCCTCCTGTGTGCCCTACTTCTACTGCAGCACTCTGACACCCACCCACCATAACTGTGACCATAAGCAATGCTCTTTCTCTTCCTATATGTCTCTGGAAAGACAGAGGAGTTGGAGATGGAGCTGAGAATTTTCTACCTGGGGTGGAGGCAAAGTATTACAGGATGAAGGCAGCTGCTGTGTCAAAGAAGGCAGTATGTCAGTATAAACCATAGCACTTGCTCCAAATAAAACAACAGTTTATTCTAGAGCTTGCAAGATAGCTCAGCAAATAAAGGTGCTCGCCACCAAGCCTGAAGGTCTGAGTTTGATCCCCAGAACCTAGGTGGTAGAAAGAGAAAACCAGCTCACATAAATTCCACAGACTGTTAATCCTACTAGGTAGGAAAAGACCACTACCATAAATTTTGAGACAAATCTGAAGCAAGTTGTACTAAATTCTGACCAGGACCATAGATGCTGGCCAGGTCTATACCCAGGATTATACAGTCCCACGCCATATTAGTCAGGGGCTTATAAAGGCAAAACCCACAAGGATACAACTTCCCACATTCATACAATCAAGGGCAAGCCTACACCCTGACATGCATCCTGCCTGTGTACCTCCTGCTTACCTGTGATCAAGCATATCCTGTAAAGTTGGGCAATCAAGCTTGTTTACAGAAGCAAAAACGTGGGGCTCATTACCTTACATGAACAACAACCCCCAGCATTCCAGGAAGTTATCTGAAAATTGGGCAAGTGGGACTTACAGGTTAGAAGCATTTTTTTGTTTTATAGATCTAAGCACAGTAATTTAAACTTAAAACATAACATCAGCTTTCACATTCCCTGCTTGAGCTGTATCCTCAGTCAAATCCTTGACCCTGTGGTAGGTACCTGTTCATATTAGGATCTTTAACCATCAGCTTAATGGCACCCAGATGGGCATTTATGTATTTAGTTGTCTTAGGATTTCTTTCCTTTACTACAAAGAGACACCACGACCACAGTAACTCTTACTGAAGAAAACATTTAATTGGGGCTTGTTTACAATTTCAGAAGTTTAGCTCATTATCATCATGGTGGGAATCACCATGGTGTGCAGGCAGACACGGTACTAGAGAAGGACCTGAGGGTTCTGTATCTTGACCCACAGGCAACAGGAAGTGAACTACGTACCACACTGAGCATAGCTGGAGGAAAGGAGAGCTTAAAGCCCACACCCACATTGACATACTTCCTCCAACAATGCCACACCTACTCCAACAAAGCCACTTCCTTTGGGTGCCATTTTCTTTCAAACCACCACACTAGTTAAGGTATTACTGATGCAAGGTTATTAGTAATTAGCAGAAACTGAAGAGCTAAAGGCTCTTCTGAGATGGCTGACATCAGAGTTACTATCTAGGAGGAGTCCAAGAATGAGAATGGGACCAGTCATTTGTCTCATCTTGGGTCCTTTTTCTTCTGCAGTTTTTTTTAGTACAGCCAGATTACCTCTAATGATTTCCAAATGGTTTATGTAGAAACATTTTTTTTCTTAAAACCATACAATAACGTTATTTTAGATACAGCAGGTCAAGTGCCCCATCATACTGTGGAACTGTTTCAGCTAATTAATCTATCTGTTGATAGATCTGGGTCTATCTGGTTTTAACATGTACCTTTCCTGATATGCCATAGGCACTGCCAGGAAGTTTTCTTTTGACTGAACACTCCAGCCTTTTACAGAGGATAAGGGGCCACATACTCTCTTCTGTAATTACTTCCTAAAGATTAGGACATCATTGTTGGGGCCCAGGAAGGCTGGAGTGCTAGTCAAAGGCTGGGAGGAGATTCAGGCAATGGAGCATTCATCATCAGAAGCATCTGGTTCACTGACCCAGCTGGAGAGACTGGGAGCAATCACATCAGCTTTCAGCAAGTCCAGGGCTCACAGCCATTTGGAATAGTTTGTGGTTCACAGCTGATTCCTGGATGGTGTCTGTCAGCTGAGTAGAAATCTGCTGGGACAGATACAGACTAGAGACAGATACAGACTAGAGACAGATACAAACTAGAGACAGAAGTTTACCTTTGTTTGTAATCGGTACTAAAATCCACATTGTAGAAAAAACAGCTAACAGGTGTCTGAAAACAACTGGAGTAGACTAATGCCCTCAAGTCATAGCAAAAGCTATGGCTTTGGGTTGCAAAGTATGAATATTCTTTTCTATGTCCAGGGGGCTCAATATATATAGATTAGACAGAGTTAATTTTATACTTAGAAGAAGACACCCGAAGGAAATTTAAAATCTTGAGCTTGTGACAGATAATAACAGTGAGTGATTTACCAGCTTATCAGAACTCCCTTGATCAATGTTAAAACTGAACTTTTAAGATCTCAGTATAATAATACTATAAGAAGGAAAGAAATCTGAAACATTTCTCATTTTTCATATACCTTAAATCACTTCCTTAGACTTCAGAACTTATTTAAGCTTGGAACCTTTTCTTTCTGTCTAACCATTTATCAGGAGACACACAAGTAGTTAATTACTGAGAGCAGCTATTGCAAAGCAAGTTCTTTTAAGTAAAGGAATAGTAAAAAGTTACACCTGAAGCCTGTTTACCCTTTAATATAAAGCCTGTTAGCAAGATGAGTCTGTCTGCCTTTTTCAGCAGGAGACCTAGGAGCTCTGGAAAAAGCAAGACCTGATTTATATGTATGAAATAAACTAACATGGTAGCTGCAGCCTTGGGAGAAGGAATTGATTGCCCATTACTGCCAAAGTGACAAAGCTACATTTAGCCATCAATGCCATCAGAGATCTGAGGATAAATTATAGCTGGAAGTACACACTAAATGGCACCTGAATCAATTAAAATGACAGAGACTTACAAGCTACTGGGACAATTACTCTAGTAGGCTCCCATAGTCTCTAATGGCTTTGTTGGGGGGCAGGGGTAGAGGTCATAGGTCTTTTACTACTACACAAGACAGCATTATGTATTCAGCTGCTACACAGGACAGCATAAGCCTTTAATCCTTTGGCTGCCAGACCCAGGGGTCTGAGAGATTTTTCTGTGGATAAGGAACTTGGGGAAATTAGCCTAACTTGACTTAGGCAAGGCAGGGCAGTCAAGCCAACACTATCCACAGTTTGTGCAGGGTCCTGGAAGAAGGTGAGTCATTGGGGAAGTTTTTCCTAGTGGTTAGCATCATGGCAATCCAGGTCTGTGCCCATCAGTCTTCTTTGGAGATCTTAGGGCTGTCACTAAGAGCTGGCATTTCTATCTACCACAGGAAGCTTTTCCCATTAAACAATTTAGATGCCATATTCAGCAGATCTCCAAGGAATGTGAGGACCATTAAGTATACCTGATTTTAAACAAACTTAACTTGTTTTTAGTTGTTTGCTTAAGGTGTAACCTTGAAAATATATGGGGTGCTAATGTAACTAATTACATTAGTACAAGTATAGTAATGAACACACTAAAGAATTTAATCATTTACTCACGTGACTAAGTATTAACTTTCATGTCTTAGTCATGTTTAATAATTTATAATAAGTTAATAGCTTTTTAAGATTAGATTTGCACTTTTACCCCTGTCAGGTATAGCCTTAAAAAAATAACAATTTTTGAATTGAAACTCTTTTAGTCTCAAAATAAAACTTTAAATCATAAATATGGGGAGACTGGCAACTTTACTTTCCTGGTCGATCCGTGGTTCACCATTACAGAATATCACAGTTTATTGTATGATTCAGTTTATCAAGAATTCTAAAGTTCAACAAAGTTAGC